CCGTGTCTGGGCTTGCTTAATTAAGAGGTAGCATTATTTTGAGTATTGATCAAATAGGAAGTAGTTGGATTATAAATTAATGAGCTCAATTTGTAAATGTTGCTGATGGATGTTTCTGGAACATTCAGTGAGAAGTCTGTAAGGTTGTTAAGAAATACTGAAAAGATTTAAAACAGATGAGAATTAGGCTCAACTTAGCAAAAGCCTTGGTTTAATCAGTAATAGTAGTATTTATGAGACTTGGTTTAATTAGTAAAAGTAGCATTTATGAGACTGACTTAATTACTCAAAGGTTATCAACATATTTACGATTCTTCCTACTAACATGCCAAGATTAGATACAATAGAAATAAGATAAGAGAGAATTTTGAATTTACTTTCCATTCTGCAAGAACTTCTAAAATCAATTTCAAATCAAAACCTGGCTTTTTAATGGCTACCTCCACAATTTTTTTTTTTTTTTTTTTGCTAAATGAGGGAAAACATTAGCAGTGACAGATAGTAAAATTATAATAAATTTCCAATTATCAAATGAAAAGTTGTTTTGGAAAAAACTATTCATCATTTTTTGGCAGACTGGAGATGTTCCTAACCTGCTCCTTTATCATTCCACTTAAGACATGAGTGACTATAGAAAAGATACTAGATAAACATTCAGATGTAGATGAAAATTTCATTTGCTTTATTGAAATCCCTTGCAGAAGTAAGGAAAAATTACAACCTTGTCTGTTATTTTCTTACTGAAATTCAAGTTTCTGTATTAGAAAATTTGTACCTATAGTTAAATACAATCTTTTCTTTGAGGATATTGCTAATTTACAATTCTTGCAGTAAAAGCTTTCTTCTAAAGAGTAAAGAAATGAAGAATTAGCTAGTTTAAACCAGAATCCCTGGGGATCCATAGTCTAAGCCTCTAAGAGTTAAAGCTAGCAGTTCCTTTAGCTTTTCTGACACACAGCAAACAGAATTCAATTTTATTTGTTGCCTCTTGCTTGCCATTTAGAAATCTCTCAGTCCTGCCAATTATCCAGCAGTGTTCTATTACCATGGTGATTCCTGTAATGAAATTCCTAAACCCCAGCTTATGTTGAGTATGAGTTTACACCCAAATAGGAATGTATCACTTGGACCTTTAAAAGGCTCATAAAATGTGGTTGTAAAGATCTGTTCCTAGAGAAGCATGGGATATGAAATTATGCCCTAAAAGTCCAATTTTACTTCTGCAAGCATGTCATCCCATTAATGATATCTCCAGAGAAACAGATATGATAAAATATAAAAATTTTTATTTTACTACTATAGTGGTGTTAACACATTCAGTTTTGCTGTAGAATCTTAGTTTGTATTTGCAATTAATGGAATTGAAGTAAAAAGATGAAACCAAAAGACTTAATTTTCAATGACTTTAAAGATTATCATTTTGGGGCTGGTGCTGTGGCTTAGAGAGTAAAACCACTGCTTGCAGTGCCAGCATCCCATATGGGTGCTGGTTCGAGTCCCAGCTGCTCCACTTTTGATCCATCTCTCTGCTATGGCCTGAGAAAGCAGTGAAAGATGGCCCAAGTACTTGGGTCCCTGCACTTGCATGGAAAGACCTGGAGGAAGCTCCTGGATCCTGGCTTCAGATTGGCATGGCTCCAGCCATTGCAGCCAACTGGGGAGTGAACCAGCAGATGGATGACCTCTCTCCCTCTCTCTGTGTGTAACTTATTTATTTATTTACTTACTTATTTATGTATTTATTTATCTTTGACAGGCAGAGTTAGAGAGTGAGAGAGAGACAGAGAGAAAGGTCTTCCTTCCGTTGGTTCACCCCCCAAATGGCCGCTACGGTCCACAGGCTGTGGCCAGCATGCTGCACCGATCCAAAGCCAGAAGCCTGGTACTTCCTCCTGGTCTCCCATGTGGGTGCAGGGCCCAAGCACTTGGGCCATCCTCCACTGCCTCCCCGGGCCACAGCAGAGAGCTGGACTGGAAGAAGAGCAACCAGGACAGAACCAGCGCCCCAACCAGGACTAGAACCCAGGGTGCTGGCACCGCAGGCGGAGGATTAGCCTAGTGAGCCGTGGCGCTGGCCAACTCTGGCTTTCAAATAAATAAATATTTAATTTTTAAAAAACCAAAAATATTATCATTTCTTTATGATTTTTATTTATTTGAGAGGTAGAGTTACAGAGAGAGAGAGAGAGAGGAAGAGACAGAGAGAAAAGTGTTCCATTCACTGGTTCACTCCCCAAATGGGCGCAATGGCTGGAGCTAGGCCAATCTGAAGACAGGAACCAAGAGTTTCTTCTGGGTCTCCCACGTGGGTGCAGGGACTCAATCATTTGGGCCCTCTTCTACTGCTTTCCCAGGCCATAGCAGAGAGCTGGATTGGAAGAAGAGTGACTGGGATACAAACCAGTATCCATATGGGATGCCAGCACTAGAGGCAGAGGCTTAGCCTACTATGCCACAGCACTGGCCCCAGATTTTCATTTCTAATATTCCACACTTTCGCACTTTGGGATGGAAGCCAACTTTTCTAATTTCTTAAGAAAATTCAATTCAATAAAAATTTTATAAGAAAAAGTTACAAAAAGTAACTTGTTGAGGGTAACACAAAAAATAAAAAGTAGTAACTGTATGATTTCAAATTCTTGCATGATATTTCCAAATTTTAGAAAACTTTAAATTAAATTTTGGTGAGTGGAGGTCAGTGGGATTTTTTTTCCACATTCATTTTGGATCAACAAATACCTATGTAACAAAATGTCATCCAACATAAGAGCTAAAGTGGAATTTTATACAACTCCTCAGGCACATTAGTAGAGTTCAGCTTGCCATACAAGCTCCTAAATCAATTCTAGAGGCATACAACCAAGCATAATTCCCTGATACTTGCTTTAGTTGGAATAAATGCTGATGCACTTCCTACTACAAAGCAATGTCTTCAGCACAGACTTCTTTTCCCCACAATTTACTTTAATTTGGAAATTGTATTTCAATTCACATTTTATTAGTATAAAGAGATTTTATGTCATTCATAGATACAATCTTATGAATATAATGATACTTTTCACCTTTCCTCCCTTTTTCTTTCTTGTTTAATTTTTGTGATAACATTTGAAATTTATTTTATAATGAAAGGCTTAATGCTCCACTAAAAAGAGTTCAACAAATAAAAAGCAGAAAGACCACTGTTCAACAGAAATATAGACAAGGCTATAAATAATAATAAAATCCCAATCCCAAGATGCCGACTTCACTTATATATATTAAGTTTTTTATACTCTATATGTTAGTTACCACAAATCAGAGAAAACGTGATATTTGTCTTTTTGGGTCTGACTTATTTCACTAAGCATATTGATCTCCAGTAGCATCCTCAATGCGTCCAATCTCTTCCCCACAATTTTCAACCATTTTGATTCCTTCTGTCCTTTGGTTTCAAGAGCGCTAGTAGAATAAATTACAGAAAACTCTCTAGTAAATGACATGATCCCCAAACTGCATATTTCAGTATCTAGTAATATTTCTTTGATTGTGAGCAAATCAGAAACTTATTTTTTTAATTTCACTCAAGCTATTGTTGGAAATCTTTTTAAATATATTAATGCACTTTCCTTCTTCAGCACAACTAAATTCTGTTCAAAACCCACTTTTACCTTTTTCTTAGTTCATCTGTTGTCACATGGTATGATGGATTCCATCTGAACTCTTTTATAGCAATGTGTCTAAAATCATGCTCTTCCAGACTTCTTTGTATTAGAATGACATTCTCCAAAATTAAGGTATCATTTAAAGTTATGATAAGGCAAAAATTATTTAATATATGGCAAAAGCTATCCTTTACCGATATGTGGAAATGGAAAAAGTGGATCTAAATAACAACGAAAATCTACACATAGTTAAGTGTGATACAGCAGTATTTCTCAGTAGTTTACAAAAAGTATCATGACTTCCACATACTCCATTACTTGAAAAGTCTGAAAATCAGTATATTTAACTTCAGACTTCCTTTCCAAAATGAAAAACTAGGAACAAGCAGCCTGACGATTTTCTGATCTGTGAATTTATATGTGAGTCTTTGACTTTAAAAAAGTCAACAAAGCTAAATAACTTACTGCTCTCAGGACCAAGTCCCAAGTCATCATAACCTGCTTCTGCAAGTCAAGAAAGATCTGGGTCTACTTCTCTTTTGGGGAGGCGGGCTTTCTGGTACATAAGAAACAAAGCACATGCAGATTACAAATATGTGACATTCTTACAGTCTGTATCATGTACACGCTACACAAAGCAATGCAATTACTCACAAGATAATTACAAGATTTATAAAAAAATCAATTCACACAACAACTACAGCTCCTTAGGGCCAGAAACTCGACACAAGAAAGTCCTGTGTTTATGCTCAAACTTGAAAATGTACTTCCCAGCTCAACTGGAGAGGAAGGCTTTCGTGCTCAGCTCCCCCCACTAATGCTCGTGTACCACTTCCCAACCTGATCCTTCAGCTGTAGCCTGATCAAACTCTTGGTTATACTCCCTTACACCCTCATTCTCCCATGTTTGCAACTTCCCCTAATTGAGAGCATTCCCTGTTCAACCCCCACATCTTCCAGATTTTTCCTGACTCTACCTCTTGACCTCCAATCGCACTTACAGGTCCTAGTTTCAGTTCATCGCATTCTACCTTGCGGATTCACCTTGCTGCTTAACAAGGACAAGGGCTGGGGCATGAATTGATCCCCACCCCTCCAATCCTAACCAGGTGTTCAGCATGCAGTAGGCACTCAAGAAGTAAGACGCCGCCCTGCATCTGAGGTAAATCAAGCACTGTTCTGTCAAACGCAGTGGTTTTTCAACTCTTTCAACCCTCAAAAAGGAACGACTAATGGGTCTGTCAGACACCGACTACACGTCCCAGCGGCCAGTGCCTGGTCATTCCGGTCCCGCTGGTTCTTCCCAGAGCAGAGTTCCACTCAAAGTACCGTGGTGACTGACAGGGACACGGCATTCACCTGTGGGGATAGGGCACGTTCGTTTCTCTAGGCAACCAACGCAAGGCGCACAGTTCACCACCGGCGAGAAGTCACTAACGGTCCACACGGCTCCAGGCAGCGCCCCTCACGCCCACCGCCCACTCCTCGCGCTCTCCCACGCCCGCGTGGCTCGCCGGCTGGGCGGCTCAGGAGCGTGCGCGGCGCGGCCGAGCGTGCGGCTTCGGGAAGCTTCGGTGCGCTTCCTCCGTCCCGCCGCTGGCGTGCTCGGGCTGCTGGTTAGCATCGCGGTGGTGTCTGGCTTTCTACTCTGCAGGAGTCACCGGCTTTGATGAGCTGCGGCCTGGATGTGCGTCTCGGTGCAAGAGGCCTGAGAGGGTTGCCTGGGTCGCGCGCCCCGCACTCGCTCCGCATGGTGAAGAAGAGCCGTGTGCCCATCGGGTGAGTTTGTGGGCTGCGCGCTGCCGACCGGAGCCCCGAGGTGTCCCTGGGGAGGATACTCCGGCGCCCCGCGGTGGGAAGCTTCGCCGCCGCCCGAGCCAAGGGAGAGGGCACGAGGCTGTGATGCGGCGCGGGCTCCCGCCGTGTGCGGGACATCCCTTGTTTTGCCGTCGTCACCTCTGCCTTGCCAGGACAGGAGGGGCACGCCATTGGCGTTGACTTAGCCGTGACATTGCCCAGAGTCCCCCTAAGTATGCAAGCGACTCGTGTTGTTTCCAGAGCTTGCTGTGTCACAAACTCAACTGCCATAAAATAGGGCATACAGGCAGCTGCTCGCGCATGCCACGTCACCACTGCTTAATAAACGAAATGGCTTACAAAGTTTCTTCTCCCAGTGCTTTGCCATGAGCTGAAATAACGATTTCAGGGAATTGTTCTGGAAAATTGAGCGGGAATGGTTGGGAAACTTAGGCACGTGCAGCGCGGGGCTGTGGGGTGGGCTGTCGTTCAGCCACTCCACAACCGTGTATTAGCTGCTGCTTGTGCCAGGCCTTGTGCTTGGCGCTTTAATTTAGAGAAATTTAGGAGTGTTAAACTTCGACCACTTTGCTTTTGGAGAAGGGCAAGTGTAGAACTAAAATGCTACAAAAATGATGTTCCAGGCTGTGTAGGGACCTCATGGCTGAAAATTGTTTCAGGGCTGCGCAGTCCGTCGGTTCATCATCAAGTCCCTTCATTCTTCATCAAGATGAGCCACTCAAACTTGGGTACTTGGGATGTAGGACCCCAAAAGCGGTGTCCTCTTGTGACGACCCCAGAAACACAGACTCCAGACCAGACGATGCAATAGAGCAGGAGGTAATTTTATTTCATTTGCGCAAATGGGCCCCCTACTGCTGCAAGCAGCAAACAAGTGAGAGGAGCCCCGAGCAGCTATCTCACACAGCTTTTAAAGGGCAAAACCACAAAATTAACATATTATAGGCTGGCGTAAGTTCATTGGATAATTTTCAGTAGCGGGCCTTGTATGGCAGTCTAAAAGTGGTCATGTCGGTGGAAAAGTACTAGGTCAAAGGGATACATTAAGGGAGGGGGTTTCTAGGAGAGAGGAATAGGTTGCTACGTGCCTTGCAGCTTTCTTTGTTAACCTTGAGCAAGCGTAGGGAAGGGGCTTATCTACAAGGCAGGTGTTCTGTGTATCTCTGGTTAGTAGCTGACTGCTTTCTCTGTGAACCGGTTTACCCCCCATTTCCCAAGGCCGTCTCTGGAACGGTTTGTCTCAGGAGCCCCATTTTTTTATGGTGGCTCTTGGCTCCTTTCATTCCCCCATTTTCTCTTTGAACTAATTTTAATCCTAAAATTGTGTGCCGTTAATGAGGGGTTTCAATACGGTCACTGGTGGCCAGGGCTTGATACTGTTGCGTGAGGACTAATGCCAATGATCAGCAAGCCAGGCCTTAGCATGTGGGCCCATGGCCAGCCATGGGTTTTTATATATATATTTTTTTTATTAAATTGAGAATGGCCTCTGTCTTAGGTTGCCCTCAGTCATCTCTGTCCTTACCCGTCATCGGTAACTCTGGCAGCTTGGCCTAGAGCCCTGTCTTAGGTTGGTACAGGATGCTGAGCGTCTTACCCGTCTTTGAGTACCATTCCAGCCCAACATTAGGTGAGAGATGAAACATACAGCCAAATATCAATTATTTTGATTACAAAGGAGGCTTGGTACGAAGTTTTAAATGATGAATCTCAGTCCATTCATACTATAGGGAAGTCAGCATAAAATGCAGAACACACGGAAGACATCCCATACAAAGTGGGAAAAGCAGTAGCAGTCCAGCCAACATTAATAACCAATGAATCCATTGAAACCCTTCAAATGAATAGTGGGTTAGTAATAAACATATGTTGCATTTTACTCTTAAGTTTATCAATAACAGACTCTATATATGGCACATTGTTAGTAATGTTAAAGCAATATCCCCCAGGTGCAGGTTTACAACTTAAATGATCTTTTTAACAGCAAGTAATTGTTAGCTGCATGGCTTAAAAGCACTCCTGAGTGAACTTGATCCAATTCTTTGGCTATATTGGATAGCACAGTAGCAGTAAGATTGATTGCTTTGGTCACCAAACATGTAAGCCTTTATAGTCCACGATTATTTCCAAAAGCCAGTCCAGGAACACTTACTACTGATGCAGCCATGGCAAGGGCAGTGTCCTCTCCTATTAGGATGACGTTGTTATTGTAGTCTTCAGGTAAAGCACGCCACTGACGTGCTCTATCCGCTGCTGTAAATACAGATGTTAGCATCAGGGCCACACGGCCCAGGGAGCAATTGCAGAAAGGCATGTTGGTTACATGGAAAAACCCATCCCTTAGGAGCCCTTGTCCCATACCAGTACTGGATCAGATCCATTCCATTGATTGGTGATAGGATCCCTCCATTTCACCACTGCTCTTTTTACAGCTGTTTTTAAGCAGTTAGAATTTAACAGAGACATCAAGAGAACATAATAGATTACTTTAACTCATTGCTTTAACAGAGGATCAGATTTTGATTTTATGTCAAAGAAAATAATTAAAGATTTTTTTTCTCATAATATTTTGTGACTTTCTCACACCTTCTGTAACTTGCTCAAACCTTTCTCTTCTCCCCCCCCCCTTTTTTTCATTCCAGTATAAACCAGCCATTAAGATAAATAATTTTTACAAATCATATTCTTTTAAAAGTATTTTTTTAACTTTTTTTTATTAAGAACACGCTTTTATGTTTGTGACCTTTTACATTAAAATGATGGTATCTGGGACTGTAGCAGTCAATGGGAGAGTAACTTTGTTTAATTCCCTGTAATCCACAGTCATTTTTCAGGTTTTATCTGATTTTTTAACATGCCAAATTAGATAATTGCTTTTAGTGATATGGGAATCATCACTCAGCACTAAGATAATTTTTTTATTGTTTTAGATATTTTCATA